AAACGATGACTATTGAGGTCTATTGTCAGGAGAATCATTCAGTGTTATATACAATCAGTGAATTCTACGCTGCAAGTAGAATGTTGGGCACGTCTGCACAGTGTTATATGTGTCACCGCTCAGTGTCAGGTAAATATGTGTATGTTAGTATTGGACTACAAACGATAAGATGGCAAGGACTGTACAGGTAGTTAGTTTAAAGGCATAAATGAGGTCGGGTTGGGTTCTGGAGGTGTGGTTAGAGCATTGTCCTTGGTTGGTGTGGCCTGGGCCTGGTGGTGTGGCCCAATGTGATATCTTTTCATGGGGCCCAAAATCCCCGGCGGCGCCCCTGGTTCCATGTGTTCTTCACTTATGAACAAAAATGTGTTTCTGCCTTATCTTGTAGCTTTCCACTCGATGTGTTCAGCCTCCTGTTTGTAAATGACATTCCTCTCTGTGTCTGTTCCTTCTGCTTCAGCGCCTCTGCCTCTCTGACTGCGTGCTGATGAGATGAGCTTTATTATTGTGAAACGGCAGAATGTTCCTCTGCAGGGGGGGGCAGACAGCTTATCAATCTGCTTCCCTTTAATGTACTCGCTAAACTCAAACAGCCTCGTAGAGTGTGTGTGTGTGTGTGTGTGTGTGTGTGTGTGTGAGCGGGGTTCTGTGCGGGAAATAGTTCTTGGAAATGTGAGCGTGTTGGTGTGTGTCCTACCTGTTTTATTGCGGTGACGGTGATAACGAAGAAGAGGGGCAGGCCGCTGGTGACAGGGCTGGTGGGGGTGTCGATGATGAGCTGCAAAGAGAGAGGAAGAGTGTGAGGAAGGTGCAGGGGATGAAGATGAAGGGGGGACAACATAGAGGACGCCAAGTAATGCAACATTGAGTAAGAAAGTACAGCGGGAATTATAAACGCTTCTGTAATAAGGAATCAAGCTCCAATCTGGCAACGTTTATGTCTCCAAGTAATCAAATCTTGCTTGATATGCTCCATCTGTTCTTACAGGAAATATCCATTCTGGGATAGTTAACTTGTATTTTTCCCACTACTTTTTAGATACATTTGTAGAAAGTAGTAAAAGCAAAGTAGCAGCTTTCAGTCGACTAAAACAAAGAGGAGAAACATCGCTGCTATGTGCCATGCCCAGTTTGACCCATTTGGAAAGTGCAGTATTTCACATGTTACTGATTAGACACACAGCAATAAAGACTTAAGCTCTGGCTGTGTTGCAGTGTGGTTTATCAAGGTGATGCTGGTAAATACATTGTTCTATCCTTCTCCTCTGTGATGAGTTTGTCCTTGTATTCAGCATTTGGTGCAATATACTGTAGTGGCTCAAGGAAATAAGCTGCTTCTCTTTGATTGTAATTTAGAAAGACACACACTGGGTAGCACAGCACTCATTTTCAGAATAATATGATGTTAGCAACTTCAAGTTATTCTTGTAATCATTTGTAACCTTAAACACTGGTGCAGGATTTAACTGGTCATCAAAAAGCAATGAAAACGTGGTTGAAACTGATGTCATGTGATTAGTTAATGCATGTGATTGTAACCGTCTAAGAAACCGGTTAAATGTGGTTGTACAGTATGTGAGGAAAAAACATGTCTTTCTTTAAGAAACTATGATAAAGTTTCACTAACGGACTTCACAAATGACGGTGTAGTATTATTGGATGCACTGCTATGAATTTTGGTACAGAGATTGATGTTCCAAGTCAATTCAAGCAAACTTCACCAAATAATCCGCAATGGTTTTTTACCAGGTTTTTTGGTTTCCCAGACCCAATAACAAGTAAGTCACTGTGCACCAGCTAGAGAGTTTGCAGTTTTGTGCCAAATCAATTGAAACCTGCTTCTCAATTATGAGAAGTGTCTCGCAAAAACATCAGCAACCTAATGTACATTTGAACATTAACGTATTAAAAATGGGGCTATGTTCAGCTGTCAAATGCCTCCAGCTGCCATTAATATATCCTGATGCTAAGCCATGCACTTTCATTTTTAAGTACGGTAGGCCATTAAAAAAGGTAGGTATTCAGAAAATGAACGCATAAAATAGAACTAGTAATACATTGTTGGATCGTTTGTCTTTAACTAATGGACAGCGGGGAGAGTATTTCCTTTCGGTTCTAAGGTTGAATAAAATGAGGTGGAAAAATGATCACTGGTTTTAATGAAAATCTCACCTGAACCAGAAATATAACCAAGAAGTAGAAGTTAGCGATTCTTCTGAACTGCTCGAATAGATTCTTGGGGACGAAGTTCCAGAAGGTGTACTGTGGGACAGAGCGACAGAGTTATTCTCACGCACATAATATAAAAAAACAGAAAAAGGAAAAACAACAGCACGAGAGAAACGGACGCACAGCTTGACGAAAAACTAGCGAAGTGAAATGTGTCATCCTTAAAAACATGGCCACAAAAGAGATGACATGGTTGTCTCAATATAAGAGGAAGGAGCGGCATGATGACGAACAATGCTTCGGCTGTGACTCGGGGGGGCTGAGGCTCGCTCACCTTGGAGGAGACGATGCGGTTGTCGGGGTAACGCTGAGGGATGTAGGCCTCAGCTCCCGGAGGAGGCTCTTTATGGCCGATGTACACCGTCCGACTGTCCACCCAGATTTCCTCCCCCACACACTGACGGAGAGAGAGATATATGTAGAGTTATAAATAGCAATACAGGTGGAGGGAGAAAAAAACGGGGTTAAATCACACTGTGTAGCCTTGGTGATGAGTTTCCTTACAACTCCTATTACTATTATGGAATATAACAGCACTTATAGTTAATACACGTGTGTCATCCATCATTTCAGACCTTACAATAAATCAAAACCATGCTTTTGTTCAATGGAGACTTACAAGTACTGTGAAAATATATACATTTATAGTTTTTAACTATCTGATGTTGCTTGTTGATGTTTTTTTTTTTTAAATTACATCATATTTGTATTTAGTGTCTCTACTCTGACATGTCTCCATGCTTTAATGTTCAAAAAGCTCTTTATTTTTCTCATACTGCCTGTGCTGCAAAACCTCTTTTCACCCTCTGTCTGAAACCAGAGTCCAGTCTGCTCTGATTGGTTAGCTGGCCAGCTCTGTTGTGATTGGTCAACTGCTTAGAGATGTCCCGCCTCTTAGCCTATCATGCACAATGTGTTGGAGTGCTAGCCAATAGAAATGTGAGTGTTACATAGTGATGTCACCGTTCTCAGCACTAACAACACTAATGCTGGAATAATTGATTAGTTAATGAATAAATCACCAAGCAGATTTGTTAAATTAGGTCATTTATCAAGCAGAAAAGCCGAAATTCCCTAGTCTCAGTTCTCAGCCCCTTTAAATATTGTATTATGATTATATAAGTACAGTGCAGTGTCAGTGCATGGCCAACTGTTTGGCTTGTGGTATTTCTATTTGCAGCTTTATCTTAAACCACTCATCCAAACTATTTCACACCCTACACTGAACTTCCTTGGGTCGTCAGCAATGCCCACCAAGAGAGTAGAGTAAAATGTACAGTTGTTGATACATATGAAGGAAAAACATACAGAAACTTCGATTTTAAAGAAGAAGTTGAGCCCAAAACAACATCTCATCAAATTCCTTACATATGTACACATTTTTAATTAATTAAGAATTAAGTCTATTATGAAGTAGCCTAACTGTCATGGATGAGAAGTGCAGTCAAGAAACAAAACGTTACACAAGAGTGCAACACGACTTTTAACAAACACCCTGGCCGACAGCAGCCGACAGAAGGAAGAGTGTGTGTTTGTTGATGTGTGTACTTTGGATCGGCTCTGAGTCACACAAGTGTGGATTTCTCATTTATCTCTTTACTCCTTCCTGCAGGACTCTTCGCTCTGCATTACTCTCACACACAGACACAAAACAACACTGTTGGTTTTTACTATGATTCCTTGACAAAAATGTATGAAAGCACATTGGCTGGTGCATGCAAGCCTCCATCTCAGTCCATCTCTCATCTATACATCTAAGAAGCTCCCCGGGGAATAACAGTGTGCATTCTGGGAGTTTACCCCAAGGTGTCCTTCATTTAACAATATTGTGGAAATAGAGCTCTCAAAAGAAGAAACAAGAGTCAAGAGAGCACGGCGTTCAGCTGTTTGTTTCCATCTGGCTTCCTACATGGCTCTAATCCTTTTGCCAGAGCGGGCAGTGTGAGCCTTTGGCAGAGCAGCCGGCCTGACACAGCGCGAAGCTGAAGTGTTGACCATCAGCAAAAAGTTCTGGAACAAGCATTTCATGGGGAGCAGCGCTTCACTGCTTAAAATGTCCTCAACATTTTGGCGGAGGTGTCGTTAATCCCTGCCAAAGACCAAATCTTTCATTCTTCACAAGTCTCCTCAGCAACCTTGTAGATTCAAACATGTTTTTTTAAAGCTGGAATAAACTTTGCTTTGAAATCAAAACAAACATTATGTACTTACTAATGCAACGTGTCCTGGTGAAATCAGCAATAAGAGACTATTTGATGTTGAATCACAAGAGTGAAAAGCTCTGAGTCACACATCTAAACTTATCCACAATGACCAACAGGCACTTGGTAATAGGATATAAATAAGGTAACAGGACTTGAGACCCCTCCAAAACATTAGGGGGAGAAACATGACCCGGAGAGATACAGTGAAATGGAAAGAGAGCAAGATAATAAGACAGACAGAAAAAGAGCAGCTGATTGGAGAGGAGCGAGAAACAAGAGCAAGTGACTGAAATGAAGACGATGCGAAAGGAAAGTTTGTTGAGGTACAAAAGAAAGCGTTACAAAGTCAGATTTGGTTTTAGAATTCAAGTGAAAAAGGCTGTAATTTCAGATATGTAAGCTTGATGATTTAGCACTAGTTATTTTGGTAAAGGGTAACTAAATGTCATGCTCATATCTCACAACTGTGTCAAAAATAACTTCCTCGGCTCTGTTCCCAATACATAAATGACCCTGCTTAACAATATGTTAGCCAGATATCCTATCCATACTTGTAGTTTAGAGGTTGTTGTGGACATTGTGATCTTTATACCAACAGACCTTTATGATTTGTCAATAATTTGTCTTTTTAATGGTTAATCCAATAATAAAAAGGGTTAAAAAAATACAGTTGAGTAAAGTGCAAATTCAAATTAAACATATGCCAAAAGTTAAGAGTTTTTCGCATTTATTTTCCTGATAAATAACTGAGATGATTAATTGAAAAACTGAGTAATTTTCTGTCCTTGTTATTATCATGATAACAATACATCATATCTACTGTGTTACACAACGACTTCTATTTCAAACATGTCTTCATCCTCTAGTCCCTGATCCGTGCTGTCATATTTCTATCTGCACTGTTTTCCCTCTTTTGTTCCCTCCATCTCCGGCAGTGTGTGTCACACTCTGACAGTGTGACAGTGGGAGAAAGACTCAAGAGAGATTGCATTGTGGTTTGTAGTTATCTGATCATTAATCCTCGCTGATCCGTATCAACCCCTGGTCCACTGTTCTCTCCTCACTCCGCCGCTCCATCAGACACAGTGGCTGGCTGGTTGGTTGCGGGACATGGAAGCTTTGTCTTTATTAACACTGAAAAAGCCTCCGAGCAGCGAGGCTGGTCTTACATCACACTCCATCATCAAGTATCCCACCACTGCACCTTCTCCTTTCATGGTGCGCCGGATCTAAGTTTTGAACTGTTTGAACTCTGGAATTGGAACGTCACGAAGCTCAGTTGGTAGAACTTGAGGCCCATGAACTGGGGATGGTTCGCCAAGTGGATGACCCGGGTTTGGATCCGGCCTGGGATCATTTGTCACATGTAATGCTTTCTGTCTCCCCCCTTTAACAGTGTCACTTGAATAAAGGCATTGGTGGCCCGAAAATATATTTTAAAAAAACACTCTGGATTCAACTAGGGCGGGGACATTTTTTACTATTTCAAATATGTTTGACCAAATACCCCGATATCGATATTGCAACAATATTGTAGGCTTGACTATTGGTGCTTTCCTAACGTGTGTACAGAATGAGATGTTTGATGAATAAACTTTGATCATATTATTATTTATTTTTCAATGATATTGAGAATAATGACATTTGGACTACCTATGTTATAAATGTATTATCTTTTCGATTTACACACGGCATCTATTGCACGTCTGTCCGTCCTGGGAGAGGGATCCCTCCTCTGTTGCTCTCCCTGAGGTTTCTCCCATTTTTCCCTTTAAACTGTGGGTTTTCTCTGGAAGTTTTTCCTTGTACGATGTGAGGGTCTAAGGACAGAGGGTGTCATATTGTCATACGGATATTCTGTACACACTGTGAAGTCCACTGAGACAAATGTAACATTTGTGATATTGGGCTATATAAATAAACATTGATTGATTGATTGATTGATTGAATGATGCACAAAGGATTGTTCCCTCCAATCAAATGCTATTGCAATTGCAATATTAGTCAAAAATAATTGCAATTAGTTATTTTCGTCCCAATCATGCAGCCCTAGTAAAGACAAATATGTAATATAAAAAAAAATGGCATCACTTTACTATATTACCACCTTTAAAACCAGGAAAAGATTACACAGTATCTACTGACATGTCAAAAAATTCATATTATATCAATATATTACAGAGCCCCACAGAAAATAAACAGGTCTGCTAGTTTTAAGGTTTAGAGACACACACAACCTCTGTAGTTGTGACCTTTTCCCACTGTGTTTCTACCGTAGCACTTTACAGAATTATGGATGTGAATATCTTCATTGTGGGAAAGCGACCCTTGACACTGCCGCTGCCATGATCTATCCCTATGGTGCAGCTCCTTTTTGCCGCAGAGGTGTAATAAAAGGTATACACCATTAACTGGTCTGATTGAATGGTCATGTCTCATCCCTGCTCTACTGTCCTGCCATGCTGTGCTGCCGGAGCACAGCGCATGTTGAGCAGCATCGCTCATTAACTCCCTGATCAAATGTCTCTGACTGAGCTCTTCCTTAATGAACTACTCATGTTAACTGTACAGAGGAAGTGAAAACATACAAACCATTAATGATTATATCACAACAACAGGATGTGGTAGAATGAAGTCAACAGAGGTTCAATGTTATGGGAGAAGATTAAATAACATTGTGGACAAATATTTCTGCTTTGAGAGCGTTTAAAAAGTGAATGCATGAAAGTTAGAGAAATTAAGCTTGTTGCTAAATCTCTTTGCAAATTCACCCTTAACTGATATATTAGTGTTCACTAAGTGGTTGATTTTTAGAGAACACTTCACTAAAAATGAGTTACAGTACACAAACTACTATTTATGAAAAATGAGTAGTGATAAATATTTACAACTATCATGTAAGGTGTAGCTGTGCCGTAGCTAAAATGGGCTAGCTTACAAAGCTTATGTTAGCTCGCTAATATAAAAGCTAGCAGGGTGGAGGTTAAAATCTGAAAACATCCTCAATATAGTGTATATATCTCACCTGACCCTATATAAAATACTGTTTAATTATGGGGTAAACGGAAAGGTTTCGAAGTCACATTTGATCAATATAACTCAAATGACAAAACATGCTAATAACGATGGCAAACCACCTAGCTGATTAGCGTTGGTAAAGTTAGAATAATCAGGTATTTCCCACTCATTCTAA